GGCGTTGTTTTCGATCAGGATTTTAATTATATCACAGTAGTTTCTTCCCGCTGCTGAGTGTAATGGAGAGATTCCGTTCCGGTCCTTTTGGTTAAGATTGATATCCAGAGTGACCAACCGCCTGCATGCTTCTGTTTGGTTTTTTGCCACTGCCAAGTGAACTATATTTTGATCAATAGGGTTCATTATCTTGTAATCAGCACCGAAATCTATAAGACGATCCATAATTTCGACGAATCCGCCTTGAACTGCATACGTTAATGGCGTATGTCCATATGGTGTTCTGGCATTTACAGACAATCCGTACGCAATAAACAAGTTTACAAATTCAGTATTTCCAGCTTTAACGGCCAGATGCAACAATGTCTCCCCGCTGATATTTGTGCCATAAATGTCGGCTCCTGCAGCTACGAATCGTTCAACCTCATCCGTAGAGTTTGCTGACATCAACAATGATAAATCGGCCATGTGGTTTACGATGATTTCGGTGAAAGATTATTGCTGCTAGATGAAGCGAAGTTTACCTTCTTGCATTCACGACAAATGGTTTAGCTATTAGAGTATTTAATGTACTGGCTTTCTGTATTCCCAACATGCAACAAAAAATGATTTAATTAAGTTTTAGCTACATGGAAGAAGTTTTATCTGAAATTGTCATTCAGACAAATTTAGGTTTCTTTGGGGAAGGATCTTTGAGTTTTGTTGTGAATAATTTTTTCTAATTGCTCCTTTTTTAATTGAACATTTGAAATTTTTGAAAAGAAGAAAACCTTATTGGCCATATATTTTTTATATTTATTGATTGAACTTTGGCCACCGAGAAAATTTTTGAATACACACTTTTTGTAGCTTTTAACGTCCAGTTTATTTCAAGATAATATCACTTGATACGGGGTATTTAAATTTCAAATGGCAGAACAATATAAATATACTATAAATCCTCTACTTTTTAGCACATATTTGCAAGTAGACCATTAAATAGTTGTTGTGTAAAACTCTGACTTTCTACCTAATGCCATAATACTAACAAATACATTTACATATGTCAAAATGCCATATGCAAATGTAATTGAAAAAATTCAAATAATTACTTTAAAGGCGAAGGGATATTCAACAAGTGCCGTAGCTGCGAGGAATGGAAAACCGAAGAGCACGAATTATAAATAGATTAGCTGTCCATATATCGGAGCATTCAGCTCCAAATCTGTAGATCTACGGGTAAATCCGTAGGGTTGGCATCGCTGGTCGGGACAGACCTTTGAATATAAAACTAACTTAGTTTTATATTCAAAGGGACAGACTAATAAATAAATTGGTAGGTTAGGGTGGTGGTGTAGGTTAAGTTGTGGTAGCGCAGTCTTGCGGATCCAATGTGAGACATTCCAAAATCAGCAAATTCTTACAAATAAAAAAGTAAATTAAAGAAACATTTTCCTGTGGTCCAAAATTTAACTCTGAACCATTCTCAAACTCCCTTGAACACGCACAAAAAAATTCATCAAAATCGGTCCAGTCGTTTAGGAAATACACAAGAAATATGTATATATATATATATAAAGATTAACTAAATTGTCAAATTAAAGTTTGTCATACATCCTACATATACAAAAACAAAAGCAGGCAAGAAAGCAGAAACACGTTGTTTCTTATCTTTATTTTTAACTGTTATCTCCGGATAAATGTATTTGAGTAATATATAAATGTTATTCATACCAATACAATTATAACGCTGGCGCATTTATAAAAAATAGTTTCTATAAACAATCTCCGAAACAGGTTAAGTCACGTTCTGCCACAGGCCACAGTCTATAACACGTACATTACAGCCTTTTTCACTTTTGCACGTGCTCTGAAGTACCAGTTTTATCCATTTTTTTTTTCAAGACTTTTATATATTTTATAAAATTTGTACCGAAATTATGGCAACTAAAATGGATTGTCTCGTTTCAAACAAGTTTATATTAATTTAACTTGAAATATTAGCACAATTAATTATTTTATATTTGAATCACCATGTTTGTAGTTTTGACAAATTTACAATTATCCATAGTATATTTTATGAAAAATACCCTGGATATACATTTAAGTATGTATATTACCCGAATATTTATTTTAAACATACTAGGTATAATCATCTGCACATATACACAATATGTACGTACTCAGCATATAATTTTTATGAACTTTGATGAAAGAAACATAAGTATATTCAACGAACATTCATTTTTGGAATGTTCAATTAAGTATATTTCCAGAATATCCCCGTAATGTTCTGAATATGTTTTTAACATTCTGGGATATTTTTCGAATGCCGAATGCAATCTGGGTAAAATATGGGCATTCCATTAAAAAAATATAATCTAATAATATATGAAAATTTCGTATTTAAGATTAAACTCTAAATATCTAATTAGATGACAAATCGGGGTGGGCAAAGTTCAATTAATATTGATTATCTCAAAAACAGTTAAAAATCAATATAGAATATTTACGTCCAATGGGCTTATAATTTTGTGAATAGTGCTACTATGCAATAAAAAGTACGACGTTCCATTTTACAAAAATTTAAGTTTAGCCTGCCACTTATTAGTATCAACTGATATTATCTTAAAATAATTGAGACGTAAAAATCTACAACTTCCGTGTATGTAGGAATATTTTTGCCCAAATTTGAAAGTTTATGTTAAAACGTGGTGGCCAAA